CCCACCACCTACAATGCTCTTCAAAATTCCAATTCTGCCGCTAAAGAGTGATATTCTACCTAAGAAGCTATATTTACCTGGCATAAGCAGCAGTTGTAAGCCTCCTGTTAGGGCTGTAAGTTAAGCATAGAAAACAAATTAGTAAGTACAAAGCCAGGTCTTGAGACAAACAAAAAATTTACATAACAAAATAAACTGCCATCACAAAAATAATGTTTCAAATAAAAAAACCAAAGAGCCAGATTCCCAATTTTGAAAATGTGCTTACATGTCCAAAGATCGGCACCTTGACAAGCTAAGATAATAATGAAAAATTAATAACGTAGAATTAATGAGAATGTGATATTTATATTGATTTTTAGTTATAACATTATAAATTATATAAACAGACAAATACTAGACACTACTAATTACATATAATACATTTATTAGTTTCTATATTTAATATTTCATACTATTCTAATAACATCAAATCACATTAGATGTTGGAATGTAGTCAAGACCAAATGAAATGATAACCATAAATTTGTGAAATTCAGAAATTATAGGATATATAAGTGGTCTATATGGAAAGAGGATATCAGTTGAAGAACTAAGTTTCCAAGAATATAAAGGAGTACCAAGGTTACTAAGGTATCAATACTGAATCCAAATCCAAGCAAGCCAAAGAAATAAAAATTATTTTGTAGCTAAAGAAATGTGATAGAACACCAAAGCTGAAATATACGCAGTACACTCTACAAATCTAGTAAGAATGAAAGCACAGCAATACTATTAAGAAACTAAAAGTAAGGAGACACATTATAGAACATGCTAATATAATATTATTAACTACCACGTTCTCTTGTGCTGACGAAAATCTGCTTTACGATGATTTACGTGTTTACGGGCAGTTGATGGTGTACTGAAAATTAATAGAATTAATAACAACTTGTAGAACCTTTTGCAATTTAGCAAGATTGTCTATTTATCATAAAATTTTAAAGCTAACAATTTGAAACTGCTTTACAAATTTTTGTCTTAAAATACTTACAGGTGACCTTGATCAGATACATCTGCCTCCGATTCTATTTCACCAAAATCTTCAAAATTTTCTTCATCAGTTATTTCATGGCGGCTAAAATGACGAGGTTTATGAATATACATTTTTGATAAAACAGAAATGAAATGAAAACATCTGAAATTAAATTATTTGGGATTCTTTTTTAAAGAGATGCATCAGTATAATTCAGAGTACTGTTTTACTTACCTATTTTCATTTAATTCTGAAGATTTATAACTTAAAGCGCTATCTGCTTCATCTTCGGAATTGGGTGGAAATAGTTGACCCTTGATACTGTAATCACCATTAGTATATTCACTGCTGTTTAATGGTAAATCTGTGATATCATATTCAGCGTATGTTGAATTACTGTGATCTTGTTTATATGACTGGAAAGAAAATAACAAATACTTGTTTAACATCCTGGCAAGCTCACATATAATAAGATCCATTTGCTCTTTCAAAGAAAAAAAAATACTGGGTGAAGAATTTAGAGAATGTTGTGAGCAAGCACTACCTTAGCCATAACATATTCTGTCATGTCTTCAACATACATTTCAAAAATATCTTCATCCATTTTAGTATTTCAGTACCCAAACAATATCAGAGTGCTATACAGGGTATTGTCAATATGAAGTGTCCAAGTGAAATGACCAGGCAATATACCCAATGTATTATCTATAACTGTTACATAACAGTAAACCTATATTATATACATAGAGTAATCAGGTCAGACCTATTTAATTAACACTCTGTCTTAATTACTTATAATTGTCACTAGAATCTGTGGTCTTTTTTTCTACAATAGACACTGTTTTTATAATAAACCTAGTTTTTGTTTTAGATAATCTGTTAATTGATTCAAGTTTTAAAGGAGATTTTATCTAGAAATCATGCTGAGCTTTTACTTTTTCTTAAGTAAAACCTTAGTATAGTAATCTCAGGCAGATTATATAGTCTAAGAAAGATTATCTCGATGCCACAACTTTCTACTTAATCCCTTTAAGTCACATACAATCTTTTTACTACATGAGAGTCAAGTGAAATAATATATATTCTGTAATAACTACAGGTATCTCAAATTAAAAAAAAAATGTCACTGTGTCTATGTAAGTTTATATTGCCTTGCAGTCATAAAATTATATTGATCTATCATACTTTCGTAATGATGTGACATCGCTTAATAATTCATCAATATATCATGACACTTCTAATTTATTTCAACAGTTTAGCCTACAGTTATTTTATATTTTTCATGACAGAAATGAATACAGGTTCTAGACAATTATATATTGAAATATCAAGCCAAATTTATAGATTCATGAATTTTTTTATTGCCAGAAATCTATACTACTTCCAACACATTGTGCAGTAAAGATATTGCCTACAGCTTCAATGAAGTCAGAAACACAAAGACAATGTTGGGTCACCATACTATAGTAAATGTCTTTGAGTGTGATGTGCACAAGTCAGGTATATAGAAGTAGGTCAAGGTGTATACTGTACAAGGAGTCATATCTACCTGTGTATACAAGTATATAAGTGAATATGAATATCAAGCTTTAGGTTTAGTCACTAAAATTCACCACAACACAGCTGGTAGCTATTTGTAATCAATGTCTCATGATTTCATTTCAAACACTTTTTCTACATGAATCATTAATGAAATTGTTCTCTTTTAATGTCTACTTTAGATTTATCATGATTTCACCATAACATTAAAGTTAACCGTATTACATTGCCATCACAGGTAAATGATAATCTGAACACAGATTCCTGTTTGAGCTGCACAATCCACAGATACAGATCAATATAACAGTAATACAGACTGTCCAGTGGTATGGTCAAGCTGTGGAGTACATGACTTCCACTGTTTGACCCTGTCACTAAAAGTTCAACTTGACTTACTTTCTTTTTTATGTAAAGAAAAAACATTTTGATGATGTGATGTTACCAAACAATACTTTACAATATGAACCACAAACCACAAATAGTTTTCATATTCTTTTCTGAGCTTAATTGATGACTATTGCAGTCATTATAAAACTGAGAACATGAATTTACGACATAGGGAGAAAAAGAAAAAAATGTTAGGTAAACATATTTGTAAAATACCAAAGTTGAGAACAGATGTTACTATAGTGATTAGATTAATGAATATAAAATCAATACCATTTCATTTCCTTCCATTTTCATTAACTTCTAGGTGTGGTCGCGTCAAAAACCACAACTCCACACAAGTCCTAATGTGAGAGAGATCTCTAATCTTCGTAACAAGTAGTACACACCGACCTCCTTAAGGCATATAATAAAACTAGAAAGGTGTTAAAGCTTAGTGACTGATGACGTAGTAAAGTATGGTAGACTGTAGATGTAATAATAGATAGTCAACTAGCGTGACTTGTTGGAAAACACTGGAATGTTTCATCAAATAAGACAGTGTTAATGAAAACTATTGATTCTATTGGAATGTGCGACCTCAAACAAAACAAATCAACCATGTAAAAAACAATGAACTAATATGTCCAATACTTGAAGTGTTTTTTTAGTTTTATAGGAAATAGCTACTTCATAAACACATGTAGGGTAACATTTTTTTCTCTGATGTTTTTTATCAAAACATGATACCTGAATTCTGTAATTGGCACTTTAAATTAAAGTTAAAAAATTACAATTTTAATTTTTATTCTAATATTAGAAAATTATTGAAAACAATCTGTGACAGATAATATTGAGCAACAAAGCTAGTTTTGAAATTTAAATCTGATCATTTCTGAACCCTTACTGAGATTTGAACTCTATATTACATAATGATAATTTCAAAACCTGTATCTGGTTACGTATTACTGTTTATTCAAATATCTGTAGTCTTTACTCTATCAATTTAATAATTTTTGAAATGAAGCAAATACAGATTTAAGTATTATTTAATTTTATATTGCCTTTATTTTCAATCATAAATGCATAACAAAAGAATTATTTGAAATTAGTATAAACCACAAATTACAACATGATATTAAAGAAAGTTGCCCTACCTCAGCATCTAGTAAATATCTCATAATGTCTCCACGAAACAAAATATTGGTATGTTTTAAGTTATACACCTTAATTAGACACAGGTTGATATAAAATGATTATGAACGACAAATGACTAATTCCCGTCACAGCTGGTATGATTGATCGAAACTAGTTTTCCTGGTGAATATTTACGTCAAACAAGTTCACCACCACTTTTACCTAGTCATATTGATTATATTTCTTACATCAGTCACTCAAAGTGGCCATGTTTTTATTCAATTTATATAATATTTAAAAATATTGAAGGTTAAGAAAGAAAATGGTGGTATATTGTGACAGTGTTAAAACTAGATGAGATCTGTGGTATTGATCTGTATTTTATTCTGTGTTTTATTGTTGCTTAACAACAATCAATATTTAGCCGCATTCTTCCTCCTACTTTTAATTACGTAATAGAGCTTCGCGACTGATATCTTCCTTCAAACTAACAATGGTACATAAAACTAGAGAGGACAATGACATTGCCTATTCTTTTGAAAAGCAAGTTTTGAGAAAAATTAATGAAGAGCACAAAATGCAAACAATCCATCAATACACCCTCATGAATATCTTACCAAAAGAAACTGCAGAAATAGCAGAAGATGGAGAAGGATTTTCAAAACTACTCTACAAAAGATCTTTAAATCCGAGAATAAGTCTCTTCGCTTCATAATTAGGAATTCCCATACAAATTTTGGAATCATGGGCCCTAGGAAAATCAAAGACTTTGTAACAAAAGACCAAGTGCATATCAGATGTACATATATACCATCCAATCTAGCTCAGTCAGAAAACTATCCATCTACTCTCCGACCACAGTGAACTCAGAAATCGATTTTGATGCCATTCCAAATATTCAATGTGAAATTTCTAATTGTATGCCATGAAAATGTCTTCAGGTTCACAGAATTGAAGTTATTTGATTTAGCATTTGTAACAAACACACTTCCTTCCATGAAAAAAGAGACAAATGTTTCAGTATCTTTTCTTCCATACATTCACATTTCTAAAATCAATTTTTACATTGGTTTGCAGTTTCATCAATTCAAGTATTATATACTCAATCAAGATTGTCAAATTGCACTCCTGTTCCTATTGTGGTCAGACAGTAGAGAGATGATCATGGATACAACAATACATCTGCATTGAAAATCTTTTATTTTGGACCATCCATGTTATTCAACAAGGAATCAATAAAAGATAAATTCCTATCAACAGCTGTCTACTCTATGATTCATGTGTGAAATAATAATTGATTCATAATATTGACTTTTGGTACTGGATGCATTTTGACATATATTCAAAACTTTAGGGTTTTTTTTGTGCCTAAACAGAATTACTCTTGTGGAAAAAAGATAGGTACCATAGAAATAGCTCAATAAATGAAAAAGGTGATGAATTCAACCATAAGCAAAGCCCATGTGGGATGAAATTGTTTAGAGTAATTGGAAAAGAAACCTTAAGTTTGAACGACAGAGAACTAAGATGTTTTGTCTGTTGTTAGATGTCATGATAAAATATTATTGATTTTGTATTGTTTTATCACTAGGATAATAAGGGTGGAAACAATCTGGAATACATGAAGTTCTACCAACTGTTCTACTTCAATCATGTTTCAGCACACATACTGGGGTCTTTAGGGTGTTGTCAAGAATACATGCTACAGAATGTTCAGTCGTGTGTGGTTATGTAAGAGCTTTATCACAATCTTTTTTTAATTAGTTTTTAATTAAGATTCTTTTAAGATGTCAAATTTAACAGACAAGATTAACTTAGAAACATGTTGGTTTATTATAAATCTGTCCTGTCAGTATTCTGCAAAGACTTCCAGAACTTCAAATAACTATAGAAACTCTTCATATCTCAAACATGCCATTACAAAAAGCTTGATGCCTTTCAGAAAAAAATTTCTCAATGTTGCTGTAGTTCATCACTTTACATCAGTACATAGTGATATCAAAGAGATAGACTACATGTCAAATAAAGGAGTTACTTACATGAGGTGATATAGGTGAAATATTAGAGATGTTATCTGTTGGTACTAGTGTATCTTCACTACATCCTCTCCGTAATGAACAATTACCATTTAATGATGTATGAACTGAAAAAAAACAAATGAATAATACTTAGGTAAAGGTCACTCAAATCAATAAATGCTTGCACCATCTCTAAAATAAAGACTGCAAGAGCAAATGTTCGATCTACAGTTTTCCATGAAAAACATTATGTAATAAAAAAGGCAAATTTGGACACAAATCTCATAATATAAAAAGATTCATGGGTCCAAGAATATTATCCAATGATAAATATTATCATGCACTGAATTTACAATGGCAATATTGGCATAATGGGTATGATATTTCATGCTGGAATCTGAACCTGAAATTTAAGAGAAAGCTTCATTAAGGAGATAAAATTATTTAACGCTTTCAATACCTTGCAAAACTTCAAATAAACTGTGTTTGGATAGCTTTTCATTTTTCTTATTATCCCTCAAAAATGCAATAAACATTCGCATAATTTTCCTAAAGAATCTAACAACTTGACAAGATGGACACCGACACATGTTGACATTTGGTAGCAATTAATACTGACTATACTCTTCCAAATTTAATGGTCTTTATATGTGAACATTTTCAGAAAGGTGTCAGCCTCATGCTTGATAGACTCAAAATAAAGGGGCAACTGCTACTTGATTAATCAACCAATGAAAACACTGCTCACTGATCTAACTGACCAATGGGAACTTAAGTTAAAATCACAAAGTTGTTAATTGTAATCAAGTTTTCATTCATGAGCTAGTTTTTCTCTGAGTACTAGACTGAAGGCTTGAGATCTATTGTTTTAAGTTGATAGTGGTTATTACAGCTCAAAATGTTTGCTCTAATCTTTTGATTACAGGTTACAACCTGTTACTATATTACAATTACAACAAAGACTACTCTAACTTATATTTGGTCTGTATCAAAAGATTAGCCTCTATAGGGTCAAAATTAAGAATTTTGTGGTATATCTATTCTTATAATTAAATAAGTTTATTAACGACTATTTCTTTGATCTTGTAAATTTTTATTACAATTGGTTTAAAAATGGAAATAAAATTTCAATAAAAGACACACTGAGTAAAGTTTGAATAAAAGAATAAATTTTATTGGTTTTAATTACATCTATATCTAGCAAAGACCATGATCATTCTTAATTCATGTGAAAACAACCAAATCTGCTGTATACTTTCACATTTATATTTCAGTATTTCAGAGCAGTATCCATCTGAAAACTGTATCTTTGTTAAATTTTTAAACTGCCATAATCATGAACTATACTTCAAATTCTTTGTTATATTATACAGCAAGCTGCCTTGTTATAATATTTGATTCTATCTACAGAGAAGAATATATTCATACAAACTAATTCTGTTACCCACCTTGTGCTTGTAAATCTTGTATTTGTTGTACACCTTCACAAAAATCATCAAACGTTATCACTCCTTTAGCATCAGGGTCCAAAAAATTGATAATACCAGTTACTGCCTGAAATAAAAAGAACATCACAAAAGTTAAAATGTGAGTATGTGCCATTCACTTAGTAAAATTTTGAATATTTATATAAATGAAATGTTAAAAGGTTTCAACTAAATGCTGTGATAAAAAAAATAAAAAATCAGGCTATTTTCTGAAAATTTGAGGAACTTAAATTTTAAAATACAAAGCAGCTGACATGTACTTCTTGTTTAATAATTCTGGTAATAAAAAGTTTACAGCAAAAAAAATCCAGCCTTCACCTTTCAAAATTTATCTGGATTTTGAGCAAGTGTTTGACTGTGAAAAAGGTTTTAGAGTCAATATACACAAGTAGCACAAATTATCTTGTTCACTTTTTTCAGATCAATCAATTCAATACCTCTAATGTCTTTACACTCATATTTTTAGTAGTTATATTAATATAAAGTAGATATTAAATATAAGATATTACTGTCATAGATACAAAAATAATGTATCTACTTTCAGAGATGGCATTTAAGGATTTAAATACCACTTTGTACATTTTAAATTCATATTTTTTCTTAAATGTCCTATTGTTACATTTTACTTTCAGGCTTGAGGCAATAGATTTGGATTAAGGGTTGAGATTATCAGGGTGCTATAATCCATAACTTACCCAGACGATATTGATATTGGATTATTATAGGTTAAAGGTCAATATTGGTTTCTATCGCATGATAAAAGAAAACAGACAACTACTATAATACTGGAATAGGAACTAGTACTCGTAAATTTGGATATCTTAAACCAATGTTAGGTTAATATTACCATGTAAATGATAACACAGAGGTCACAACTATGCATAATACAGAGAGAGAAACAACAATTGACTTAAATCCTCCATAATAACATGTATTAACATGGTCACTTTTTATTCACATATGTGCTTTTGATAAAATATGGAGATACAAGAAAATGTTGTGATCATTTGAATGTCTACTAAAAGAGGTGCTACAACATGCATCTTGTCTCACTGTTGTTTCTTAAATATTGCCCAAAAGAGCCTAGTTGGCAGCAGTTGGAATAAATCTGTTCATTTCAATTCTATTTAACACAGAAAACTGTCAGTATATCAAGAGCGGTTCCCTAAGCCTTTTGTTAAATATTTGCTGAAATTAAATTTCAGGAATTTGAGATCGGTGAAAGAAGAATAGTGCAAATGCCCATAAAAAGCTACAAAATCTGATTACAATGCCTTATATGGAAGAGATATATATGACAGATATTTGTTCTGGTCCTACATATATTTTCACTGTAACACAGGCAATCAATTACAATGTAACATCAAAGACAGATATTTAACATAATGTAATAAAAGAAAACCAATCATCAGGTAAAAAAGACAGTGACAGGCGTAAGAAATAATTAACAAAACAATTGTTAAGATCTTAGACAGAGCCAAATTAATTAAGATATACAAATTTTATATGGTCATCAAGAGGGTTGTAAGAACTTTCTTAATTTTATTTGATACATGATGTCACTTGGTTTTCAACACATCATTTCCTTAATGTCAATATATGCTCTCTTCAGAAATATGAAGTGCGATAAAAACTTTGTATTTTCAAAACCAAGTTTTTATTTTGACATCTCATTTTTAGCACTATCTGTCAATAGCTCTTTAATGTCGAAATTAAAATTATGATCTAATTAATTTGTCAAGAGGAAATTTGGGGTAGAAAAAATACTTTTATGACAACAATGGAAGGATATGTCAATCAATGACAAGGATAACTTTAATACATTATGACATGTGTCCAGCTATCAAAGTAGTTAGTAGTTTAACACCTTTACAAAGTAGTTTTAAAAAGTAAATTTTTTCCTAAATGTCTTTTTTCACTCCTGTTCATTGACAGGCCACCAACATCAAATTACTTAATAATTTAATAGCTCTAAAAAAAATTCAGTTAAATATTCTTAATTCATTGCTTCATCCTTTGATTATTTGTAAGTTATATTAACACAATTATGATCATGATAGAGAGTTATCCCCCTTTAGTCTTCAAAAGAAATAGCATTTCTGGATCATTTGCTTCCTTCTTTTAAAGTATACAACAAACTCTTACATAATTAGAGACAAACAAATGTAACGCTAATTTTGAGAAAGAGAATGAGAAAATTCACGCTTGCATAACCCCACAAATCTCTAATTCTGAATTGCCACTAGATGCTGATATAAACTTATTATCACAGCATGAAGATTGCTAATTGTACTATTACCAGCTTAAACCATTATTTACTTCTCTATTTACCTTCATTCACTCAACTCAAACAATAGAAACCATTAATTTCTAGAGTGAAGTTAAAAACTTAATGTTCAACACACTTATCACCTCTTTGTTTTAAGCCATTATTTTTGGTTGTTTAATCTGCTTGAAATTTACACTAGAAACAAAGCATCATTTCACTAAGTTCCCCTATGGGACTGAAATCAATAGGGTCTCACATGGGTTGTTAATAACAATAACTGAATCTCAAAGTTATTCAGTACTTTAAATTGCAGGTGGGCTCAAACCATTCCATTCTAAAGTTCATTAGACTTTTGATTGCTTTAACTATCCATTGCTATACATAGATAACATATCATAGCATGCTAAAGATGTATATATCTGTTCAGGATTGAACATCATAAACTGATGAAGGTTGAAATCTGTGAATTAAGAAAGAAAGTTATCCTGTTTCAATGTAAAAAGTCGATGCAGTATGTTATTGATAAGGAATGACTGATTACTGTTACAGAGTTACCTCCCATTGTTCTTCAAATGTAATTTTTATACCTTGTGTATTGTTATATAGACACATCTTTATGGAACAACAATCACTGGTTAAAGTTTTATGCCAAGCTTGTTTATGAGCTGATTTGCCACATCTCCATATTAATGACAATAAAGTCTTTGAATGGCAATTGTGAGTACGATATATAGACAAAGGTAAAATAAGATTATCTGATCTATATATTATGATGTTGAAAGTCTATTTGAAAGGTATGTCTGTTATTAAATATGTTAACATTATAGAAAAAAGTTTGTAAATCTTTAAGAGATGGGGCACATAATTTTAAACACATCATTTACTTATACAACTGAATATATTTGCATACTTTGTAAACTTGTACGTCAGATCAAATTAAATCTAAAAATTTATTGTTATTGTGTGTAGAGAATTTGAATATATAGGACCCGCTCCACTAAAACATAATGATCATGCACCCCTTTATCATATAATATTTCAACATTCATTCTTACTGAGTATTTTTTTAAATGAGGATTTATTACAAACAATTTTTCTTAAAAATCACTAAATGACTTAATCCAGATATTAATAATTAATTGCATGGAATTCTCAATTGCATGCTATTTGTTTTAAATTTAAATTCATACATCTCGTTGTCAAAATATCTCAGTTAAGTAGTTTTGTTAGAGAATTATGTTTAAACTAAATGAAAACATCTTCAACTTAAGGCTTTAAGACAATCTAATATGTAAGGAGATAATAAATTTTACGAAGTAATTTTTTTTAGAAGAAGGAAGTAAGAAGATTTAAATTTAAGTCAGTATTACTTTCACTTTGTTGTAGAAAAATGCCTTAAAGTCTATAAAAAGCTTTGAAACTTTGATCAGACATACATGTACATGTACCTTACACGACATGACCATGTTCTTAAGTCATGGCTTTCTAAAAATTCACTTACTAAATATAAATCTAGCACTGTAGACTATTTCAAATTTTTCATAAAGAGTTTTAGGTTTTAGTTTTACAGGTCTGAGAATGCCAACAAATTAACGAATAAAAATCTTTTGGCCTCAAAGGTCCCATACTGGTCTTTCACAATCTTACAACAAAAATGTCACCAAACAACACTGTCCAGAGGAATTGTGGTATCTAAATAAATCTATTGAAATCAAATACCAAGTTCAATGACCGTCAAAATACATGTTTAAGAAGTAAATATTCTGAACGAGATGGGTGGCTTTTTTCTGGTTGTTTGATATATTTGGTGTGTAAATGGAGACAAAGAGTTGAAATATTTCACAGATCAACAGCAATACATTTTGTAATGTTAATGTGTTCTGATATTTCTGATGAATATAATATTTATTTATTGTAACCTATGTATGTCTTTCAAGTGCACTGTAATGTAATATAAAGTCTAATATAGTATTCCAATAAATGAAACTGTGTTATGTTAATGAAGAGCTAAATTTTTCAAGGCTTTCATGATTCTAAAAGATAGCTTGCCACGCAAGGTAATATACGCCCACTGGCAGCTTTGATTTTGAACATAAATATTTAGCAGTACAGTAACAATTACCAGTATGAAATATTCAACCTTCAGTCATACACTTCTTTTGAACTCTTTAGGGCGAAACTGAATAATATTGAGTATGAGTTATTGCCCTAGTTCTTGAAAACGTGTTCAATCTTTAGCTCGTGAAAACTCTAGAAGACAAACATTCAATCTTCAGCGCGGTAATGAATAATAAAACCAAGTTTTGTCAAAATTCGGCAAGAATCATGCCTTCTAGAGTTTTTATGAGCTACAAATTGAACGACTTGTCAAGATCAAGGGCAATAACTCATAGTAAATATTTTTCGATTCGTCTGATTTTCAATAGGGTTCATCCTTGGGTGATTACAAACAACCATACCAAGTTTCGTCAAAATCAGTCAAGAATTGTGCCTTGTAGAGTGTTTACGAGCAATTGTGGACGGACTGACCGACTGACGGAAAGAGGTGACGGCAATATACGCCCCCCATTTCATGTGGGCCTATAACAAATTGAGACTGGCGTAAATCAAAGCTTTAACTTTCTTGATGTCAATTAATATCAAAATTGGCCTATTTGTATCTGTATACAAATCCATATTGAATGGAATGGAATCTTATTGCTTGGACAGTTATAGAGCCTTATAATATCAACAAAGTAATGCATCCAATTGATAAGAACAGAATTCCCAAATTAACTCTTATTTCTTAAGATTTATGCAACATGCACGCACAATTTTGTAGTACAAAGTTCAAACCATTCCAATAACTGGAATTTCTGTGGCTCCTTGTGTATTTTCAAGTAAATGTATGTGGAATAATAAATAATGACATTAAAATAATGAAATACCTAAATATTTATTTAAACTGTTATTTATAATATATTAGTCAATACCAACTTATTTCAATGTGTCACTAGGTCATGTTTTTATTGTCCATATAACTGTACATTATTTACTCACAATAACAAATACAGTAACTAGTTAAGGAGGGTTTTCATTTTCCCATTTTAAAAGATAGCAAGGTAATATACGCCCACTGGCAGCTTTGATCTTAAATAAAAGTATTTGGCAGTACAGCTACAATTACCAGTATGATATATTCAACCTTTCATCAAAATCTGTCAAGAATTGGGCTAAAACTTGAAAGCGTTTTTAAGAACAGGAGCAATAATATTTTTCAATTTTTCGAATTTTGTTACGGTTCATCTTTGGGTGATTACATACACTCACACCAAGTTTCATCAAAATTATTTTTCCATTTTTCTGATTTTCAATAGGGTTCATCCTTGGATGATAACGAACACTCACACCAAGTTTCATCAAAATCTGTCAAGAATTATGCCTTCTAAAGTGTTTACGAGCTAAAACTTGAACGAGTTTTCAAGAACAAGGGCAATAACTCATACTAAATATTTTTCGATTCTTCTGATTTTCAATAGAGTTCATCCTTGGGTGATTACAAACACTCACACCAAGTTTTGTCAACATCTGTCAAGAATTGGGTCTTGTAGAGTGTTGATGAGCAATTGTGCCTCCCATTTCATGTGGGTGTATAAAAATTTGCAAAGTAAAAATAAATCATGAGTTAAATTATAAAAATCTGATATATCAGCCAGAGGCTACAGGTGAATTACCCAATGATATAACTTATACCTTATCTAATATAACTTGATATATAACCTTCATCTTGTCAATAGGAACATCAAACTATTACATCAAAATATCAATGAAACCATAAAGACTGTCCTTTTTTAATAAAAATGTTGACTGTTAAAGTCATTAATAATATAAAGATAGCTTGCCAGGCAAAGTAATATATGCCCACTGGCAGCTTTGATTTTGAACATAAATATTTAGCAGTACAGTAACAATGACCAGTATGAAATATTCAACCTTCAGTCATACACTTCTTTTGAACTCTTTAGGGCGATACTGAATATTGAGTTATTGCCCTTGTTCTTGAAAACGTGTTCAATCTGTAGCTCGTGAAAACTCTTGAAGACAAATATTCAATCTTCAGCGCGGTAGTGAACAATAAAACCAAGTTTTGTCAAAATTCGGCAAGAATCATGCCTTCTAGAGTTCTTATGAGCTACAAATTGAACGAGTTTTCAAGATCAAGGGCAATAACTCACACTAAATATTTTTTCGATTTTTCTCATTTTCAATAGGCTTTATCCATGGGTGATAACAAACACTCAAGCCAAATTTCGTTAAAATCCGTCAGGAATTGTGCCTTCTAGAGTGTTTACAAGCTAAAAATTGAACGCGTTTTCAAGAAAAGGGGCAATAACTCATACTCAATATTTTTAGATTCTTCTGATTTTCAATAGAGTTCATTCTTGGGTAATAACCAACACTCAAGCCAAATTTCGTTAAAATCCATCAATAATTGTCCCTTCTAGAGTGTTTACAAGCTAAATTTGAACGTGTTTTCAAGAACAAGGCAATAAATCATACTAAATATTTTTCAATTTTTCTGTTTTTCAATACGGTTTATCCATGGGTGATAACCAACACTCATGCCAAGTTTCGTCAAAATCCGTCAAGAATTGTGCCTTCTAGAGTGTTTACGAGCTAAAAATTGAACGCGTTTTCAAGAACAAGGGCAATAACTCATACCAATCATTTTTTGATTTTTCTGATTTTCAATAGGCTTTATCCTTGGTTGATAACAAACACTCAAACCAAGTTTCATCAAAATCCGTCATGAATTGCACCTTCTAGAGTGTTTACGAGTGTTTTAAGAACAAGGGCAATAACTCATAGTAAATATTTTTCGATTTGTCTGATTTTCGATAGGGTTCATCCTTGGGTGATTACAAATAACCATACAAAGTTTCGTCGAAATCAGTCAAGAATTGTGCCTTGTAGAGTGTTTACGAGCAATTGCGGACGGACGGACTGACTGAAAGTTGACAGCAATATACGCCTCCCATTTCATGTGTGACATGCATTTTAATCCCTCACAAAATTTTTTATATCTGAGGGAGTGAGGATCAGTTTAATTACCATTGGTGCCATGATATAATGTTTAAATCATAGTTATCTTTTAAAGAGTCAGTGGTCCAAATGTTCAATATTTCTGTCTCTGTTTCTGTTTCTGGTGTAATGAAATACCAGATGCACAGGTTCTATCACAGAAGTCTTTCTTTCCAAGATAGTCAGCACTTTTTTGTAGTCAGCTTATCTAGCACAACTAATTCCTCCAGTAGTTAGTAATTTCTTAAGAAATTGTTATATGTTAATATTGAAATACTTGAAATTCCTCTAGACCTAGGCCAGTGCTTCTATTGGAGAATATCTCCTAATACAACTGAGTAAACTTTGGCCAAACATCCGATAAAATACATTGGAGACCAAACCCTCATTCAGATTTGATTATTCAATGAAATTTGGTTATTTACTTGTTATCATTATATAGCTTGTCACGATTCTATTATCTAACAATATAAATACTCTATTGATGGTCTCTCTGTTGATAAATAGGGAAGAAACACATATTCATGACACCTACTCTTTTCAATTTCAAC